CGGCGGCGGCGGACCCGGGCCGCGCCTGCGCCCGCTGCCGGCGCGGCGAGGGCCCGTCGCCCGACTGCGTCGTGCTGGAGGGGGCTGGGAATGGCACGGGGCCCTGCAGCAACTGCGTCTACGACGGAGTAGCGCCGCTGTGTGATGCGGGCCGCGGCGTGATGCTGCCGCCGCCGCTCCCAGCACCGCCAGCACCAGCACCACCAACCCAAACCCCCAATGCTAGTAGCGGCGGCAGCGGCGGGCGTAGCTACTCTCCCGAGACGCGCATAATATCCGCCGAGCTGAGCGGCAAGGCGATAAAAGAAGACCTGGAGGCCGTGTGGAAGGTCATAGCCGAGGTCATGGAGCGGCGGCCGCGGGTGATCGAGGAGGGGACCACGGCCGCCGCCGCCGACCAGCTGCTGCGCGTCGAGGGCCACAGCGACAGGGGGAGGAACCCGGCGGCGCGGGCCCGCATGGTCGAGGACGCCGCCCTGCTAGTCGTGCGGGCGGCCGACGAGTGGGGCCACATCGTGAAGGAGCGCGGGCCGGTGAGCTCGAATGCGGACGACAAGGACGTTCCGAAACTGGTCGAGCGGTCAAAGAGGATCAAGGAGGCGGCTGCCAAGGTGGCTAGGGCCGCGGGCGGGCTGGCAGAAAGGATGGAGGCAGGGTGTGTTGGACCAAAGAGTTGCGGTTAGAGGCGAAAGGAGGACACTGAGCAGATTCAAAGAGCGGATTTCTGGAAGAATTGAACTAAAGGGTTGTATAATAAACTTGATCATCTCGGAGTGATATATACATGGCTGGATGGGAACGAGAGGGAAGGAAACACCTGAATGAAAAAAAGAAAAGGATGAGCACTAAAGCACCTCATTCCAACTTCTTTACCGCCGCCCACTCCCTCGCCCTCCAGCTCTCAACACACTTGCGCATCAATCCTGCCCCAATGACGTCGAACCGACCCGCGACGGCGGCGCTCCGACGCTCCGTCTTCTCCGTCTCGAACGCGAGCCCCCTGCGGCCCGGCCTGTCGTTGTCGTACTTGTCCGCGAAGAAGTCGAGCAGCTTGAGCGTCGGGTTTCGCGCCGGGTCCTCGCCCCTCTCGGCCGCCGCCCGCAGCCGCGCCACCCACTCGCGCTGCCCGACCTCCTCGAACGCGAGGCCGGCGGCCCGCAGCGCCGGCAGCGGCTCCGCGGTCCAGTCAAAGGTGCGCGGGTTGAGGACGTGGTAGACAACGTGGCCCGGGTCCTCGACCACCTCGGCCTCGTCCGCAGCGGCGACCACCCCGCTGAGCTCGGCGACGGCGCGGGCGCACACGTCGACGGGGATCCAGCTGGGGCGCTCGTCCAGGCGCGGCAGGCAGCCCATGGTCTCGGCGGCCTGGATCATGAGCGGGATGGCCTCGGTGGCGTTCCACCTGCCCTCGCGCGAGTCGCCGACGACCTGGCCGGTGCGCAGCACGCGCGGGGGGACGGTGGCAGCGGCAGCGGCAGGGGGCCAGGCCTCCTCTGCGGCGCGCCGGACCACGTGCTCGGCCACCCACTTGGAGCGCGCGTAGCCCATGCCCTGCGCGTGGCGCGGGTCCGCCACGAAGGACTCGGCCACGCGCGCCGGCAGCGGCGTGCCGGCCGCGGCCGAGACGGACGACACGAAGGAGAAGCGGGCGGGCTGCGGGAAGGGGACCGACAGCGCCAGGCGGAGCAGGTTGCGCACGCCGGCGATGTGCACGGGCGCGAAGGAGCGCACGCCGAGGTTGAAGTTGACGGCCCACGCGACGTGGAGGATCGAGGTGACGGACGCGCGCAGCCTGGCGTAGACGTCGGCGCCCAGGCCCAGGTCCGCCTCGCGGGACAGGTCGGCCGGCAGCGCCACCACCTTTGCCGCCTGGGCCGGGGTGAGGGCGCCGCCCAGGCCGCGGTCCGAGAGCGAGCCGAAGACGCGCGAGGCGGCGGCGGCCGGGTCCGGGGCGCGCACGAGGCAGTAGACGTGCCCGACGTGGGGCATGGCGAGCAGTTGCGAGAGCATGTGCGCGCCCAGCGAGCCCGTGGCGCCCGTCAGCAGCACAACGTCGCCGTCGGGGGTCTGGTCGCCGGGGACGAAGGGCTCGAACTGGCCGTACTCGTGCACCAGCTCGCGCATCACGGCCGCGGCCTCCTCCTCTGGCGTCAGCGGTGATGTCGCGGCGGGGGACGACGACTCTGGCCTCACGAGGGACGTGAGGTGCTTGGTCAGTTGCCGCACTGAAGGGTGCTCGAACATGGCGTTCTGGCCCAGCACCGCCCCGCCGAGATCCAGCTGCCGCATCATGTGTCCCCTTGCCATGATGGCCTGGAGGCTGTCCATGCCGGCGTTGAAAAAGTCCGTATCCGGTCCAATGTCCTTCAGCCCGAGCCGCTCGTGGATCAGGTTGAGGAGGTACGGCTCCCAGTCGTCGGCACCCATGCGCCTCTTTCCGCTGACAGCAATCTGGGCCACCGACGGACCACCCTCGAACCTGACGTACAGAGCGTCGATGAGGCTCGCAAAGCGCTTGTACGACGCCGCGCGGATGATTGTGCCCTTGTCGGTGCGTGGGTATTCCGTATCGACACCCAAAACTTGCACCATATCGCGGTCGATCTGGCTGAACTTCTCCGCGCCCTCGTTTGCGCTCTGGATGGTGGGCCAGATGGCATCCAGGTACTGCTCGTCGGTCCACTCCCTCGGCACGTTCTCGCTCCTGACCACAATCAGTCCAGGGAACGCGCGGCCGGCCCCAAAGACGACGCAGTCCTGCACCCGCTCGTCGAGGCGAATGCGGTTCTCCATCGGTACCGGAAGCACCTTCTCGCCGTTGACCAGCGTCAGGCGGTCGTCCAGCCGCCCCACGTGCTTCCATACATCCTCCATGGTTGGGTGCTTTTCGAACGTGTCGCGGGTCCTGTACGAGTTGGGCGCCGGCGTGTCGCAGTTGGACATGACCTTTGATGGCAGGCCGTCCAGCACCACGAGCTCGTACATGCCCTCGCCTATCGCCTCCATCACCAGGTAAGGCTTGGCCGTGGGCAGCGGTCGCAGCCAGTTCCATGTCTTGTCGGTTGCCAGATCACGCGACGACATCATGAGCTGACCCATCTCCGTCCTGGAGGAAGTTGTTAGCGGGCGAGCCCCAGCTTCTCTTGTAAGTGGCAGAATGTTGGATCAAGGGTACGTACTGTCCATAGTGTGCTATTAAGGGCACTCCATTGTCAACCAACAGATCCCCCAGGTCGTCAGGGCACCCGCTACCAGCAAAGACGACAACTTTGCACCTGGCCAGGGCGCGGATACCCTCCTCAGTCTCGGCAAGGATCTTGAGCACGTAAGGAACACAGTTGAATGACTGTGGATCAATTGCTCGCATCGCCTCGAGCATGTTGGCGTTAGTGATGGGTATGGCGGCATTGTAGAGGGCCGTCCGCCTGCCCGCGACGATGCCCCTGAAGGTGGTCGAGAGGCCGCTGTTGTGGAAGAGCGGTAGCGTCACAAACGCGCGCATGCCGCTGCCGATCTGGTAGTTGCTCAGGCATGCCCGATGGGTTTGGAAGATGGGCTTGGGAAGGCCCGTACTCCCAGAGGAGTGAACGATGAAGGCGCAAACGCCGGACTGGTCCTCAAACTCGGTTTGCTTCTCAAACCGTGGCGTGGTTGAGGGAAGGCCATAGATAGCCTTGGGCACGACATCGAACGTCTCCAGCTCGCGGCCCGTGCCGCGAACGCTCCGAACGGTGTCTGCATATTTAGAGGTCGTAACGATCCGGAAGCATTCACATTTGTCTAGGAGCGAGACGTAGGCCTCGGTATGTAAGCGAGTTGACAAAAACAGGACAGCAAAGCCCATGCGCGTCAGGGCCAAGATTGTGATGGCGTAATCGAGGTCGGAATGACCAAGTAGTGCCACCACCTCGCTTTTTGCGCTCTTGCGTTCCTAGAAGCCACAGAGTTGTTAGTCGAGGCAGGAGGATCATCGGGCAAGGGTTAACGTGCAAGGCGACGCACCTTGGGCACCAGACCCTGCCTGGTCAGTTCTTTGGCAGCCTCGTCCGCGAACGTGTCAAGATCGCGCGCGGTGTACTCGACCCATTCTGCACACCTAACGGCCGAGTTGGGATAGGTAATCAGGGGCGCATCTGAGATAGTAGATGCCCGCTCCCTAATCAGATCATCCACGCAGCTGAGGTGAGTCGTGCTGGTATGCGCCATGGTCTTGTTTGACCCATTGGCCGCGCTGGGTAGCGCGGATACCTCATGTCCACCGTTTGGTGCTGCATTCAGTGATGTATCGTCTTCTCCCTGCACTTCGATATGTGTATATGAAACCCCGTTGGTCTTGCCATGAGGATGCAGCCCGTTTTCCGCGGGGGCTGGTGCTATGAGAGTGCCCGGCATGATGAAAGTACGTGTCGAGAAACGTCAAGCAAACCTGTCAAGAAGACGATCTAAAACTCAGCCTTTGAGTTTTGGGGCTTGGTGTGGACTGTCGCAGGTTCTGGACGATACGATGCAAAAGGATGAAGGCAGAACCGTCAAGTACACAACGTCGGAAGCCAATTCTTTGCAAAACCACCCATTTGTACAAGACCGACTATCCCATACAATCTGGCCGCAGCCCAAGCGCCCGGCAACCTGTGGCCTAATTCGGCGTGGGATAGATGCTCCGGATCTCGGTATGCAATATCAATCGGGCCGGGGCCGAAGAAAGCTTCTCCAGTCCGCGGGTTGATCGTCACACTGGTCATGTTGCATCAAGATTGCGGTGGGACTCGGATGTCTGCAACAATAGTCGTCGTCGGAAAAGCTGACGGGATTTGGGCCGGAAAAGAAATTGATCCATGTCAACTGGGTTCGATGGCGTTTAATCCCAACGATGCGGGGATCTAATCCCGGGCACGGCTGCCCGACTCGCGGTGTGGGGAGATTGCCCTGCAAGTCCACACGAGACAATGATGCTCTGACGGATTCGGTCGAGGGCCGGTCCGAGCTGTGGTGTAGCCGTAAGGGCCTGTCTTGGGCCGGCTTGCCCAAGTTTTCTAACCGTCAGGTGCCGGTCAGAACTCGCCCAAGAAAGGGACCAAAAACGCTCCCAGTTAGCATCATATGTCCCGCGATAACCCGCCCCTTGTTCTCGCTTTCAAGAGATTTGACTTGACAGATTGATAGCCCAGGAATAATTGCATCACTCGAGCAGCACCAGGAATCATGTCGTCAGGGCGCAAAGTCAAGCTGAACAGTGGCCATGAGATGCCCCTCATCGGGCTTGGCACTTGGGTAAGTTTCTCATTCGGTCGCTGTTTGATGCCTTTTCAGGTCCGTTGTTCGAATGCTGAGGGGAAGATGTTCTCTTGTAGCAATCCAAACCAAATGAGGTCACGAAAGCTGTCGAACACGCGCTCCGCCATGGATACCGGCACATTGATGCCGCGGCGTGTTATGGCAACGAGTTCGAGGTGGGCGAGGGAATCCGCGCGTCCGGGGTGCCTCGCTCCGACATCTTCATCACCTCGAAGCTGTGGAACACCTTTCACCGGCCCGAGGACGTCGAGGACGCGCTGAACCAAACCCTAAATGATCTCGGCACCGACTACCTAGACCTGTACCTTATCCACTGGCCCGTGTCGTTCAAGAGGCCAGCCAACCCGCGGGAGCTCTTCCCCTTGAAAGAGAATGGTGAGGCCGACGTCATCGACGTGCCAGACTCGGAAACATGGGCCGTGATGGAGCAACTCGTGGAGAAAGGCAAGATCCGAGCCATTGGCGTCAGCAACTTCACGCGGCAGCGGATCGAGAGGCTGTTGGAGACTGCCAAGATCAAGCCGGCCGTGAACCAGATCGAAGCACACCCATATCTGCAGCAGCCGGAACTGCTGAAGTGGTCCAAGGAACAGGTAGGTTGGCTTCAGGCCACCCATGGCGAATGGAACACAGCCCAAGCTAACTGCCGTCGTCGCGTCGCGTCAGGGAATCGTCGTGCAGGCCTACAGTCCGTCGGGCAACAACATATACGACAAGCCCAAGCCGATTGACGACCCGATGGTGATTGAAGTGGCAAAGCAGGTGGGCCGGCAGCCGGCACAGGTGCTGATTCAGTGGGCAGCACAGCGCGGAACCGTGGTGCTGCCCAAGTCGGTCACGCCGTCGCGAATCGAGGAGAACTTTGTCGACTTTGAACTGCCGGCCGACGCAATGGCCAAGATCGACTCGCTGGAGAGGCACGCGCGCTACAACTTCCCGGCCAGGCTGGGTGTCAACATATTTGAGGAGGCCGATGAGAAGACGCTCAAGGACGCCGTCGAGGCGTTTGCGAAGCAAAACCTGGCCCAGAAGGCGAGCGCGTGATTGGGCAGCATAGTAGTACACAAGACCTAGGTGATCAGGGCAATAGATTTCTGCTGGGACGTATAGGACTTTTACGCGACGTGACCCGCGAGCGTGAAGTGGCTCCTGCTCAGAGCCCTGCCGCGCAAGTGGATGATGTAATCTCAATCTCGGGTTAGGGTAAAGCCAACCAGCGCCCCCACACCCGCCCCGGGCAACACGACTCGCGGCTCTGGAGTGCCGAACTTGTGCGGGGCCTCCCCACCGAACTTTTCCTAATGGCTGGGCGCTGTTGTGAGGGGAAGGTGGGCTCGAGTCGGTCCGGAGACAACCCCGACTCTCAACCAGACCTTGTAAGGGCCAGCCGGCCATCGCTGCCTCCACTCACGGACACGGATCAGGGACGGAATGGACTTCGGAAAAGCATACAAAGAGCTCAGGGCCTGGCGGATGGGCTGCGGGTCAGTAGAATCAATGGTCCCAGCTGTTGTCCATGTCCGCCTTTGCTGGCCCTACGACTCTTTTCCAGGCAAGCTCCCACTCGCCAACAACGGAGATTTCCTTCCCTCGGATAACACTGCTCTGTTGTCACACATGCCGACACATCCCCTGGCGCCGCTGTATTCGACCACGATTCTCCGCCATCACCCACCCTACTCGCAGCCAAGAGGATGAGCAACCACTCAGATGGCTCCGACTTCCTCGCCAGTGCTGATGCGGACCAGAGCACGGTAGTGGAGGGCGGAAATGGTCAGCGTCGCCCAAGTCCAAGCCTCGTGGACCCGCGCCCCACCAAAAGGGTGCGTTGGGGAGACGATAGTGCACGCACACGGGTCAGCCGTGCCTGTGACAGGTGCAAGACGTGGGTGCTCATTCATCTTGTCGACTGCCGCTCTTGCGCTCCTGATTTTGTCGCTGCCGCTCTTGCTAATATCGGCATGTGGCTCATGTAGACGAAAAACGAGGTGCTCAGGAAAGTTCCCCTGCAGCACATGTGCACAGGCAAAGCTTGACTGTCAGTTTACTGCTGCCTATCGCCGGGGACGCCTCCCTTCTATTGAGCCATCTGAGGAAACCACCGCTGCCGGGCTGCTGTACGATGAGTCCTCCATGGATCCCGATCATGGGTGTAGACAGAACTCAGGGATGGAGCAAGATACAGCTGTACCAAGTGGGGTTCCTGCTGGAGCTCAGGATGCTACGATCACGCCAAGTAGTCCTCGCGAGCCGGTCGGTGACGGCCCCACCACCACGGACCACGGCCGTGAGGGCGCTTCGGCCAGTAAGGGGCGCGGGACTTCCGGAGATGGGGAGACTCCCCGCCCCGACGTCACCTCCTCCCGCAACTCCCCGGAGCCGTCCCAAACAGACCAGCAGGGCCACTATGTCGGCCCATCATCTGGAGTCTCCTTCTTGCTGCGTTTGCAGCGGAAATTGCAGATGCAGATGCCCCTAGGGGCCTCGGACTCGTCCATCTTCACGTTTGGGGACATGCCCTTACCCGATACAGACCCGACCTTCGTCATCTTGCCACCCAAAAACGAGGCGGAGAGCATGGTACGGCGATATTTTGACTTTGCCCACGCCACGCAGCGCTTCTTGCACCGTCCCACAGTTGAGGAATGGCTGGCAGAGCTCTATGAAACCAACGGCGCGATGCGGGAGAGAGATACTGCTCGGTGTCGCACTGCGCTGCTATTCATGGTGTTTGCTCAGTCCATAAGCTTCCCTTCCTCGGCCAAGCTTTCAGCCCTAGCGCCGTCCGTAGCCGACATTGAGCGCGTGTCACACACGGAAGCTGCTGTATCCAGTGTTCGCTTCTTCTCTGCCGCCGAGCACCAGCTCACAGCCGAACGGGGTCGCATCCGTCTAACCAGCGTCCAGGCGCGTCTCGCGCAATGCTTGTATCTGCTAGCGCACTCCCGGCTGAACCACTGCTGGACTCTGTTCGGCACGACAGCTCACTTGGTCATCGCCCTGGGAATACATCGTAGGGCCCGCAGTGACTCATCGGCGCTGTTGTCACAGCCCACAGACCAGGTTGAATCCGAGTGCCGCAAGCGAACGTTCTGGTGCGCCTACAACCTCGACATATACCTCAGCTCGGTGCTTGGCAGGCCGCGCACATTCCACGACGAAGACATCGACCAGGAGCTCCCCGCCTGCGTTGACGACTCGCAGCTGTCAAGGAGGCGCAACCACCATGCACCAATGCCGGCGCCCAGGTACCACTCCATAATGACCGGTGCGGTGGCCCACCACAAGCTCTCTCGAATCCTGGCCGGAGTCTTGCGCGACCTGTATGGTATCAAGCCCCCATCCCGCTCCGAGAGACTGCGCCTCGCAGATAAGTACACGAAGCTACTTTTCGAGTGGCGCGGACAGGTGGCCTACCTGCTCGACACGGGGGGTGACTCTTCCATGTTTGTACCCATCGTACTGCGGCAGCGCGATGTCCTCAAGCTCGCCTTCTGGCATTCCCAGATCCTTGTGCATCGACCATTCCTCCTCGAAAACTTTGCCAGCCTAGCGAGTCACGGTAGCAGGCATAGGCAGAATAATGCTCAGCCCGCAATGAGGAGTGCCGAGGCCGAGGATAACGTTAGGTTATGTCTTGACGCTGCCACGAATATTGCCAGGTTGGTACACGATATAGACAGCGCCGACCAGCTGTACAGTACAATGTTTGTAAGTCATTGATATAGACCCGATTCGAATGTTATCCATGTCTGCGTGCTGACGCTGGGAATACGGACAGTTGATACCGTACTACGGGTTCTGCGCCGTCGTTGTTCTTTACGTCCACGCGATCCAGCAACGAAACTCCCCGCCGGAAACGTATCTGGCTGCGTTTAACGCGGCCACTGTTTGTCAAGACCATCTCGCATCCGTTGCCATCAGAGGCACCCTGACGGAGCGCTATGGTGTTGTGCTGCAGGAACTCCGAAACGAGGTGCTGAAGCACTGCCCCTATCTAGCTTCGGCAGCCGCCATGGGTCTACCAGACACGGTCGGACTGGCGAGCGGGATGAATGGGGCCCTATCCCCTGCCTCGAATGCCGCCCAGGAGATAACTCGCAATGGGACACTGCCTAATTCGGGACAGGCAACGGCGCGGCGTAGGCGCATGTCAGCCCCTTCGTATCCGGGACAGAGAGGAGGCACAGACATGCTACAGCCTGTGGCGAGGTTCGATAATAACGGCGTCGCGGGGCTTGATCTGTCGCTCAGCGGGGCCTCGGCGTTGAATTCCAATCTCCAGCAGCTCTTCCAAGCCCCCAACAGCGCACACCCCGTCAGCTTTCCCTCAGATGACAGCCCAGGTGGCAGTGGCAGCAGCCCCATGACCCTATTGACGGGGTGGGGTCAGTTCGAATCTCTGGTGAGTGTTTACCTTGCCGTCTGCTGGATTTAACACCATCTAGCCAGATTGAGTGTCACGTTCCCGTCTTGAGACGATGAAATGGTGAACTGATGGTGTTTCTCCCGCCCGCAGGTCACTGGCGGCATGATGGAAAGGTTTGATGCCTTCTTTGCAGATTCGGCAATCGAGAACTGGGATATGGCCCTGCACGGAGGTGTCGGGGCATAATCTTGATGGATCGTTTGGCTAAAGATGACCACTTTCATTATCGTACGGGCATGTGATACCCAGTATGAAGGAGCTTCTAAGAAGTTCCGGTTTCTTCTAGCTAAACAGTTCTCGGCCAAACAAAATCCCGACTATAGAAGCTCAGCCCCAACCCGTTTCGACCGCCATGCCCGGTTCAAGACAAGCCAATCAGACATTGCTCTTGCCATCAGCGGCGCGCTCGATGTGCGCGGTTGACTCTGTCTTATCGGGGTTAGCCGACTGTTCGGCAGCCGAAATATTCCGCTGCACAGGCGAGGGTGGCGTCTCGACGTTCTTCTCCAGCGGAGCGGCGACGACGTCACCAAAGCGGGCCGCAATCTCCTCCAGTCCGAGCTGGTTGGTCTCGGGCAGGAAGAAGAAGTAGCACAGGCCGGCAAAGACGTTGCAGGCGATGAAGACAAAGTAGAAGCGCCACGCGATCTCCTGGAAGGCGATGCTGGCGGCGAAGGACAGCCAGATGGCGGTGATGGCCTGGGAGAAGACGGAGAAGCCGACGCCGACGCCGCGCAGGTCGAGCGGGAAGATCTCGGCCACCAGCACCCACACGACGCTGTTGAAGAAGAAGGAGTAGGCGAAGGCGAAGAGGTAGATGAAGGCCACCCCCGCGCGGCTGCCGTCGGGGTTGCGGTCGTCGGGGAAGGCGGCCGACAGGCCCGTCAGGATGCACAGGATGGCCACGAGGCAGACCTCGCCCCCGATGACGGTCGGCCGGCGCGGCCAGTGGTCCGATATGGTGAAGACGGACACGGCCTGCGCCACCAGGGCCATGAAGCCGTACAGGGCCTGGATCAGCAGCACCTGCTGCCCCTTGTACCCGAGCGCGTCGTACATGAGCGTCTGGTAGTTCTGGATGATGTTTGAGCCCGAGAGCTTGGTCATGTTGACGATGAGGCAGCCCAGCAGCGTCCGCCGGATGTAGCGCCGCGTGAAGAGGACGCCCCACCGCGCCGCCTTTTTGCGGTTGGCCTCGATGGCGATCTGCTCGTACATCCGGGCGTACTCCTGCTCGATGAAGTCCTCGCCGCGGTGCTCGTGGAGGTAGTGCATCGTCTTTTTGGCGTCTTCGTATTGTTGTTTTTGCATCACTACCCCCTCCTGTGTGTCAGTGTTCCGTATCTACGATACAGTGCGGAAACAGCCCAGGTCACGTCAAATATGGAGGGTTGACTTACACCAGCGAGGAGAGTACGGAAGGAAAAACGTCATGATGGCCAGCAGCAATGCCGGCGGCGCCTGCGTTGCCAGCGGTATCCGCCACTGCAAGTCCCCAGTGGCGAACGAGCCGGCGTAGCCGATCCAGCCCGCGGCGAAGAAGCCGAGCGTGTTCATCAGGCCCTTGAGCCCGACCAGGAACGCCCTGTTCTCGGGCGGCGAGATCTCGGACAGGTACACGGGCGCGACGGGGTAGACCATGCCCGTGGAGAAGCCGCTGAGGGCGCGGCCCGCGATCATCATGGCCGGGCCCGCCGCGGCGGCCTGCACGACGGCGCCGACGACGGAGACGGCCGAGCCGATGAGGAGCGACCAGCGGCGCGAGCACGCGTCCATGGTCCAGCCCGACGCCGCGGACCCGACGGCCGACCCACCGTAGTAGGCCGACACGATGCCGCCCTGGATGGCCGCGTTCTTCATGGCGGCGCCGTACATGGCGCGCTTGAAGGTCGAGTGCGCGATGGTAGACGCGATGATGCCCGTGTCGAGGCCGTAGAGGAACCTGCGTGGGGGAAAAAAAAAGGCCCCCGTCAGAAAGGCACTGCCGGGATAGGGGATGGTAGGGATGCCTTCTCTGTGAAAAAGCCCTCAGACATACCCTGCCATGCTGATGGCCGTCGCGATCGTGATGGACCGGACCGAGTTGCCCAAGTGGCCTCGTTTGTCCCCCATTGTGATACTCAGGGGCTTTGGCCCAAGGAAAAAAATAAAATTCTCCTGTCTGTCCTAATCTCAATCTTTGTAGACGACCTAATCTTACTAGAATTCTCTGGCACGGGGCCCGGTTCGTACAGAGAGCTTTCTCGATAGTATCTCAGCGTGCGGGCATGGTGTTTTGGGAGCCGCGAGAAGTTTGGCGGTCGACCTTTGCCTTCTTCTTAACCGCACAGACAAGGCCGTCACTGAGGTGCGCCCTCTCGCATACTCTCGTCGTCCCCTCAGACTCTCGACTTGACCCCTGCCTCGAGCATCCGGGGAAAGTGGATTTTCCGCCTGGGGTAAGTCCCCCTCCCCCACAATTGCAAGGATCTCCAGGGTGTTCGGAAAAGCCTGCCAGCCACCGACTCGAGGGCAAGGGGGCTCGGAGGAGCGGCCAGTGCGAGCGAATGTGGAGCTATGTGGGAATCTCCTCCGTCGTGGCGGAAGGTGGTTCGACTGGAGAGGCCGTCGAGGAAGCCCACTCGCGTTCCCTTTCCTCACCTCGAGCCTTCAGACGGGGCGGCGGCTTACTACCCCACAAGGCCTGTTGGGCTTAGTCTGTCGGCAGAGGGCAGGCAAATCTTGTGGGAGCAATCCAATTCGCCATTGGTCTGCAGGGGCGCCCACACGTGTGCGTGCCTGTCCCTCCGCATCGTGTGGGGGTGGCCGGCCGCGGTCCCACTCAGGCAGGAACTTGGAGAATCCTGGCACAAACCAAAGAGGGGAGTAGAATGTGGGGGGTACGGAGACAAGCTGAATGAGGGCGGTGCCGACCATTCCCGAGGTTCCAGCTTCTCGCCCATGCCGTAGCATCCAGGCGGGGCTGCCCTGGCCTTCTCTCCGCTGACAGAGCCGACGGGTGTAGCCAGCGCTTCAGTCACGGGAGCTGTGTCAGAAGAGCAGGCACCAGGCAGAGGTCATCAGGCTTCGGTGGGATGTCGAAAATGAGAAAGAGGTCGCCAAGGGTAAATAGGAATTCGGGTTGTAGAAGGAATATGCCTTTCCATCTTCCAAGGTACGTGAGATATAATCTATGTGGCAATTTATCATCTATAACGTGCAACCCTCCCTTGAGCTAGTCCATCCAAATCATTCACAGCGTTTCAAGCCTTCTCAACCGCCTTGATCAGTCGAAGATTGACCCCGGTAATGACGGTGTAAATGGTCTCGAGTGTGGGGATGCTGACGCCCAGCTCTCTCCCCTTGCGCACTGGGTAGCCGAGGATGATCTCGACCTCCATGGGGCGGCCGTGCTTTGCGTCCTCGTACATGCTGCTGTAGATTGGCGGCATGGCCAGGATCTTGCCCATGAGCCGGTCGATGAGCTGCTCCTTGTCCAGCGGCACGCCCAGCGCCAGCGCCACGTCGATGGCCTCGCCCATGAGCCGGCGCGTCATGGGCGTCGCGCCGGGAGAGCTGCCCAGCCAGGCGTGCGTGTCCAGCATAGTCAGCGTAGTGAGCGAGTTCCACGCCACGTTCCAGACCACCTTCTCCCACCGCTGCACCTGGACGTTGGGCACCACCTGGAACACGGTCCCGCCCGTCCGCAGCAGGCCCGCGAACTCGTCCAGCCGCGCCTGCTCCCGCTCTGGCGCGGCCGATGCGTTGGGGAACAGGCCCACCTGCATGTCCTCGGACTTTGTGTGCGTGATGAAGCCCGGCGTGTGCTGTCGGGCGCCCACCCATGTCTTTGGGGGAGGAGGTTGTTAGCATGGCTGAGTCGCTCGAGAGCGAAGGCTACAGAATGGTAGCCTGGGCAAGCGTCAGTAATAGTACTCACCACGCATGAAATGATAGTGGTGGAAGGGAACGCGTTCCTGAACGGCTCCTCGTTGCCCACTCCATTCTGGATGATCACAATGGTCGTCCTATTCTCGTCCACGGCGGGCGCGAGGCGAGCGGGGACCTCGCCCTGGCCGATCGCCTTGTTTGCGCAGACTATGTAGTCGAACTTGGCGCTGGCCTCGGCAGGGGTCCGAAGAACTGCGATTGATGGGCAAAGAAATAGGGGTCAACCACAACGCGATAGAATGGCAAGGTAGTGGTCGATGGTGCGACTGGATCGCTTTTCAACATACCCTTATAAGGCTTGACGGCTAGTCCGTTTCCGTGATTCTCGCTGTTGATGCAAAGGCCGTTGGCACTGACGGCTTCGTAGTTTGATCTCGCGACCACGGTCAACCTCACGTTGGGGTTGCGACTCAAGATGAAGGCGTAGAAGGAGCCGATACTGTCGGCAGCCAAATGAGAAAGCAAAATCGTCAGCCAATTGCCTCAGGGAGATGGTAGGGAGCTGTCCGTCACTCACGCTCCGAGCCCATAGAGCATCACATCAAGTTGTTTGGATGCCATGGCGACAGATGTGCGTACCCCTGAATTGGTCCAGCAGATATTTGCGAGCTCTCTCTACCTTTTGAAGAAATGCGATTACGCCTAGCCACCCCTCTCGCAAGTTGGGGTTTATAGCAAACCCTTGGTGGGGTAAATCGGAACTCTTGACCCCCACTCGAAGGGTGTCATGACACGAACAGGCTCGACGTGGGGTTGAGCAGAGGACATGTGTTTGATGGAAGCGCAACTACCAAAATACAAAGCAGCCAAACGACCCCCAAATTCCTCTTCTAGCTGCTGGGGAGTTTCCCGTTGGCCCGCCAGTACACATTGTAGTTGAAGCCGTGGGCGTCGTAAAAGGCCCCCAGCTGCACCTTCTTGCCCCCCGACGTGGCCTCAAAGTCCAGGTCGCCAGTCTTCTTGACCGAGGCTAGGTCCAGGCCGGGCACGCCGCTCAGGGCGGTGTCGCCGTACTTGCCGCTGAGGACGGCCGGGCCGTACGCGACGGCGACGAGCCCCATGTCGTCGTTGGCCGCGATGGTGTACAGCCTCATCGGCAGCCGCACCACCACCTTGTCGCCGGCCTGCCAGTCCCGCGTTATGGATGCGTAGGTCCCGGGCGCCGTGCTGACGCCCTGCACCGCCTGCCCGTTGACCGTGATGACGGCCTGGCCCGCGACCCAGGACGGCACGCGCACCGCCAGCGTCCACCGGCCCCCTCCCGCGCCCGAGACGTCGAGCGTGGTGGTGTCGGACTTGGGGAAGGTCGTGGTCTGCGTCACCACGACGCCGCCCTTTTGCGTCCACTTCACCGACGAGCTGATGAATAGGTTCACGTACAGGGTGGCGTCGTCCCGGCCGCGAAAGTAGATGCTGTCCATGAGCTTCGTGTTGGTCTCGATGCCCGTGCCCTGGCAGCACCAGAACGAGTCGTAGTCGGTGCTGTACGTGCCGCCGCCCCACGCCGGGCCGACGCCGCGGCGCCCTCCCGGGTTCAGGGGCGTGAAGTAGGTGACGTGGCCGTGGGCGCTGCGCGGGTCCTGCTGGCCCAGCATGTGGTTGAGCAGCGCGCGCTCGTAAAAGTCAAAGTAGGCGGCCGCCGACGGGTCGGCCAGCCACAGCTCGCGCGTCAGCTTGAGCATGTTGTACGAGTTGCACGCCTCGGCCGTGTCCTTGGCGAGGTAGCCCGCGATGGCGTTTGGCGAGCGAAAGTGCTCCGACTGGCTGTTGCCTCCGATGGCGTACGTGTGCGCGGCCACGGTGAAGTTCCACGCCGCGCGCGCCACGGTCCGGTACCGCTCCTCCTTCGTGGCCTTGTACTCGCGCGCGGCGCCGATCCACTTGGGCACCTGTGTGTTGGCGTGCAGGCCGCTGAGGCGGTCCTGGCCCTGGGCGAGCGGGTCGAAGACGGCGGCGTGGTCGAAGCGGCGCGCGGTCTTGATCCAGCGCGCGTCGCCCGTCTGGTGGAACACGTCGGCCAGCACCTCGTTCATGCCGCCGAACTCGGTGCCGAGCATGTTCTGCATCTGCTGGTACGACAGCGCCGCCGTGCGCGTGTCGACCCAGCCCGCCATGCGCAGCAGCACGTCGCGCGCCTGCGTGCTGCCCATGACGCGCCAGACGTCGAGCAGGCCGGCCATGGTCTTGTGGATGGCGTAGTAGGGCACGTTGCCGTTGCTGAGCGTGCGCTGCTCGACCTTGTCGATCTCGGACTCGGGGAAGCCCGAGAGGTAGCCGGCCTTGAACCCGGCCGCGGCGTTGTTGTTCTGGCACTTTGCCAGCTCGGCGACGAAGTAGTTAGCGTGGTCGCGGCACGTGGCGTCGCCGAGCGTGGCGTAGCACTGCGCCCAGGCCGTCAGGAAGTGGCCCTGGAAGTGCGTGCGGAAGGGGAAGTCGGGCGCATCCCACCCTTTGTTGGACTGCGCGCCGTTGGTCGACACGCGGTGGTTGGCGCGGAAGTTGTACAGCAGGCGGTCGACGTTGACCGACTTGATGTAGGTCAGCGCCCGGTCCTGGTTCTCGCGGAACCTGCCCGAGCCGAGCGAGAGCTGGCTCAGGGGGAACGCAAGCGCCGAGTCGCCCGTGTCGGTAAAGACGGGAGGGACGTCGCGCGCGTGCACCGCGTGCTCGTGTCCCGGATGGGCAAGCGCGCCAGGGGCGAGCAGCAGGGCCGCCAGGACGCCCAGGGCTTTGGATGCATTGCAGCCGAGCATGATGGCCCAGTATGAAGAGACGGAGTTATCCCGAGAGAGTCTGTCTGGGGCGTGTCTTGTGCGCGCAGTCCCCTACTCTTCTTCGGCCCGGCCGCTGTCCTTGGACGCCCATTTTTATATCTGCCTGGCGCCAAGGTCGGTGCAGCGCATCATCGCTACTATGACTGTTTACCACCAAGCCCTAGCGGCGCCCTGAAGCCGAGCCATATCCAGGAATTGTTACGAACGACAGGGTCCTGGGGTCGTCAATTCCCCGCCGCCATCACGAGGTTGCAATATAGCTCGTCGCGGGCAGCGGCACCATTGGCGCGGCAAACACGCCGTTGCCACCTTGCCATCCAGACCAAGCAACCAAGCAACCCACCCCAGGAGGCCATAAAATTTCCGACTCGAGGGAAAAAGCGCGTGGCAAGCCGGGCTAGGCTAGTGAGATTATGTGCGCGGCTAATTGGTACGGCAGGGGATTTCGAATTCCGCCCCTGGGTCGGTCCTTGGATCGCCCCCGACCGAGAGATGATCGTCGTTGATGCGGGGGGAGAGAGTTCGCAGATCGCGTGGCTTTCTGGGGAACCGGCGACAGATACCTAATCCCTGCCTAGCGAACCCTTGGCGCTGGGACCTGGCACGGCTAGAGGGAAATGCGTTGGCTTGGGAGTTCACCCTCACGAACTCGTGTCTGACATTTGATGGTTGCATCCTCGAACAAAAATGTTCCTTCGTCAATAAAATAGGTAGACAAATACCCCCATTTGTGGGAAAACTCTCGAAGATTCCAGTAATTGTAGCGAGGATCAGAGAAGCCGGAATTCACTTAGACGGATCAATGGAAGTATCTCTGACACGCAGCCATAATCAACAATGGAACCAGCGCACCGCGGAGGCAATGGGGCCGTTTCTAGCTGCGACTAGACCAGTTGCCTGACCTTTATCAAGCAAGGACACACCGTGACAGCCTCCCGGGGTCGACTATTTCACGCACTAGCAGCCAAAAAAAAAAAAAAAGACGGCGCCAAGGTTGAACGGGCGACTGGTCAATTGAGCATATTCATAGGCCATCAACTAAGCATCGCGTCACATTAAACCAACAACTCCATCTTGGGTTTTCCAACGCACTAGGCACAAGTTAACCGGCAAGTGGTGGACAAAATTAAATTCACACCAAACGGATATCGTATTTTTGCCAACCTTTCCTGCCACAAACTTAGGTAATAAAAATTCAAAGAAAACAAGGGCAGAACAAGAGCTTTTGAATTACTATAGGAATTTTTCTCAGCCTTTTCCCATTTTATTTGGCGTCGTAAATCGTTGTTGAAAGCTGCGTGTTTTCCGATGTTGTCCTGATTTGGTAGTTTGGGTGTGAATTTAATTTTGTCCACCACTTGACCGGACCCACCACGTCAACGCGTGCACCGGCGATCCATGCGCCTACCGGAGCTAACAAGGGCTGAGCCCGAGCCCTGGCTGGTGGGAGGGCTGGGGAGGGAAAAGGGTCACCGGCAGGCCAGCGATGCGGGCCAATACGCTTGTTCCTACAAGTCACCTTGGAACTAGTGACGGCGCGCCAGAGGAAGTCGTCGGCACAGCGAATTTCTTTCGAGGCTTTGGGAAGACCTCCATCGACGCACAAAGGCAGACATCTAAAGAAAGGGCTGGAGGCGTGCCGGGACCAGCGCGGGAGGTGCCACATGGCCATAACTTTTACAAGGTAGCGGATGGACGACGGCTGCGAGGAAGGCCGGGTGTTTGGCGGAGCCAGGGTTGAGCCTGAGCCTAAACGCAGTGACATCGTCCACTTCAAAAAAAAAGGCAGAAGAAGGACAAGTGCTGCAAAAAAAGAAGAATTTTTTTTCCCGTCCGGAACATACCGTGACCCGAAGCTGGGCTAGGGGCTACGCCCAAAAAGAGGCGGACAAATCAGCAAGAGGACTACGAGGCGAGGACGCGACGACATTGTCACGCACCAAGCCAGATGGAAAGTGGCAGGCAAGCCAGCAATCGGCGGCGGGAGCGGAGCGCGCCGAAAGAGGGGCCCCGCCTGACTAGAAGATGCGGCGCCCGTCGGAGGTTGACGGTAACTGGATATAGTCACAGAGGAGGAGGCCAGAGTGGCAACGGTAGATATAAAGCGGAATCCCGATGCTGGCTCGCTGGCTGTGCTTTACCCCACAAGACATGCAACTGCCCGTGTCATGGTGAAGTTGGCGGCGAGATGATAGACAAACATGCCTCCCGAGCTGCAGCGCGTGCCCCACATAATGCAACGGCGTGACGGCACTGTCGGCATTACAAGGAGGAGAGATGGGGGCGCGAGCGCTCGGGAATGCACCTGGGAGGAAGCTCGGGCATCCGCGGGAGCGCGAGCGCCTGGCAAAACGCCCAATCATTGCAAGGCTTGTGCAAAAAAGGCTCAGCAGACCAGCCGCAGGTTGGTGGTGCCGCGACCTAGGCTGGTCTGGACACCCTTGGATGCTTTCGGATTTGCAGAAATAGCATGATGCCTCCAAGGGTGTGCTGCCACAATGATTCGTGCTCAGTCACTGGACGGACAAAGATAAAACGGGACGTCCCCAACCCCTTCATATCGTCCTCTGCACATGGCGATCCAGGCGACGAAAATTCGCGAGTCGGGATCTGAGAATCCCGCCAGTCTTTTGTCGCGCAAGAAGCACAGCACAGAAGAGCGGGGAGATCGTCACAAAGACGTCATCGACAGCTTCCAGACCACGCCCGCATTCCGATGGCAGTCGACCAAATAGCAACGGCGGTCGCTCGATTCGCCCTGGTGAACCCCCTTTTGGCCGCTTTCCTGGCCTTGGTCGCGACCTTTGTCCTCTATGTCGTGGCCAATGAGTTCGTCCGTGCCCAGGCACGCATCAAGGGACTGCCCGGCCCGCGCGGCCTGCCCCTGGTCGGCAACCTGTGGGACCTGCGCGGCGTCGACGCGGCCGAGAAGTACCGGGTCTGGGCCAAGCGCTTCGGCGATGTCTACCAGATCCAGCTAGGGAACGTGACGGTCGTCGTGGTCAACTCGGCGGCGGCGGCCCGCACCGTGTTCGGGCAGGGCTCGCAGGCGCTGGCGTCGCGGCCCGAGTTCTACACCTTCCACAAGGTGCTTTCCGACACGGCGGGCACCACCATCGGCACGGCGCCCTACTCGGAATCGCTCAAGCGCCGCCGCAGGGCCGCCGCCTCGGCCCTGAACCGGCCGTCGGTGGCGGGCTACACGGGGCACCTCGACGTGGAGACGCGCGACTTTGTTGCCGAGCTCGCCGAGGGCGGCGAGGGCGGCGAGGTCGCCGTCGACCCGATGCCCATGATCCAGCGCCTGTCACTGTCGCTGGCCGTCACCCTGAACTGGGGGGTGCGCGGCCCTTCGAGGCGCGACGGCCTGTTTGACGAGATCACGCACGTCGAGGAGGAGATCTCGCGGTTCCGGTCGACGACGAGCAACCTACAAGACTACATCCCGCTGCTGCGCCTCAACCCCTTCGCGGGCCACTCGGCGCGGGCGCGCGAGGTGCGCGACAGGCGGGACGCGTACCTCGGCGAGCTGGACGGGGCGCTGCTGGAGCGCATCGACGCCGGCACCAACGCTCCGTGCATCCAGGGCAACGTCATCCTCGAGGACCGGGCCGGGGAGAAGGACGACGCCACCCCACACAGGCTCTCCAAGGCGGAGCTGACGAGCATCAGCCTGACCATGCTCAGCGGCGGGCTGGACACCGTCACCACCACCGTGGCCTGGTTCGTCGCGCTGCTCGCGCATCGGCCCGACGTGCAGGAAAAGGCGTGGGTGGAGATACGGCGCCACTTGGAGCTGGCCGGGCAGACAGCAGACAGCAACCCAAGCCCGCTCTGCGACGCCGAAGACGACCAGCAGTGCCGGTACGTCGCCGCGTTGGTGCGCGAGAGTCTGCGGTACTTCACCGTCGTGCGCCTTTCGCTGCCTCGGGCATCCATCAGAGAGGTGGTGCACGAGGGAGTGGTGATGCCAAAGGGCACCGTGTTCTTCCTCAACGCGTGGGCGTGCAACATGGGTATGTCTTGAGCCTTTTATCTTGACTTCAACCTAGTGACCGGCCTACTTTCTTAGTTCAATGTGCTGACTTTGCCGGGGGCGTGCTCAGATCCGAATCTCTGGCCAGACCCTGAGGTTTTTAGGCCGGAGCGGTGGCTGGAGCAGCCCGACGCGCCGCTCTTCACGTACGGCGTGGGCTACCGCATGTGCGCGGGCTCTCTGCTGGCCAACAGGGAGCTGTACCTCCTGTACATGCGCTTGATTGCGAGCTTCACGCTCAAGCCAGCGACGAGCGGCAGCAACCCGGACCTCGAATGCCACCCCCTCCTTGGCAATTCGGATCCGGCGCTCTTGACCGCCATGCCGAGGCCGTCCCGGGTCTTCTTTGTCCCCCGCGACCGGAAACGTTTGGAGGTTGCGTTGGCGGAGGGTCAGAGGCGGGAGTAAAAAAGAAGAAGCAGAACTTTTTTTTCTTTTCTTTTGGCATGGTTGTGGATATTTCGGGCTCAACCCTTGGCGACGAGGCACTGCATGACATCATTGATGCCGGCTTTCGTCGTGCACGGCAATCACTGCCGGCTTGGTCGCGACTGTGAATGCCGCTAAAAAGCAAGCGCCCGCGACAAGAACGAGCCACCAACTGAAAAAAAAATCCGAGCTACAGAAAAGGGGCTTCCATTTCAAAGTCAATTAACACTACCAAAAAAAAGCAATAACTGTAATTTATATGCAAATCAATAGGCAGTCATTTTGCCTTCACTTTTTATTATTGGCGAAAAAATCAGTGCTGTTTTGGGCGTATTATGGTGCTTTGATATGTTGCAATTAAATTGATTGAGTTTGTTTTGATCTTTTTTTGCTATAGAGTTTGGGTGGGGAAAAGCATTTTGCGGT